TTATTATTATTATTACTATTATTATTATTATACTGTTTCTTATTACATTGTGATTAAAAACAAATTTGCAACAAAAAAAATTGTGCTCTACTAATTTCGATGTTAAGGTGGCTTTTCATACGGTTGTATATTGGTTGGTTCATTTGCTTTTTTTTTCTTGCACGTACTTGTTCCGTGAGAAAAATATACGATTCGCGTTCGACGCCGCCAACGTTCGTGTAATTGTGTCGATGTACCACGTGTCTAATAACACCAGATTGTTCTTAACATTGTGCTTCTCCCGAAGAGTTTCGAATGATTTCTAGCTATAAATGCGATACAAAAAGAAACAAACGAAAACAAATTAAATGTCGCGATTTAATCGAAAGAAAGTTAATATAGACAATTTTCAAAGCAGACATTTGTTGTGAGTGCTTTCTTTACACGTTATTACTGCTTCATTTCTTTCTGTGCCGTTCGGTTCAGAGATGTTTCTACGTTAGTCATCCTCATCGTTCGTTTTCTTTAAATTGTAAATCTCTACACGTTTCTTTACCGGTTATCCAACGAAGCCTATTAATAGAACGTCACCAAATCAATCTCACTTCTATCAGCTGTTCGTTAACGCTCGTTTCACGGAATCTGTTGTATTATTAAAATTGTGTAATATACGATACTACAATTGGAACATCGAAGCAAGATGGCGAGATACACCTTTTTCTCTTCTGGTTCTCTTGCTTTGTATCGAATAGAAGTACCAACGTAATAAGGGCTTACTAAAAATAGTCTTTTCTTATTCTATTTTTGTTTTTCTTTTACCGAATCATTCGAATGTAATTATTGTAGAAAAGAAAAGGCCTAACGGTGAGAGCGAAGCTACGATTAAGTTGCTTGAAACCTCGACCTCGTTACATATGTTCTTCACGAAGACCCCGACAAGTGTTTTTAAAGCTGTTCACTTTATTGTACTGTTCCAAAACAATGTTACAAAAAAAAAGAGAAGAAAATAGTCCTTGGTGCAATTTTATAAGTATTAACTGTCGGATGGTCTAGAGGTTTTATCGGACGCGTCTTTCTCAAGCACACACTCCTATTGCGTGTCACAGCTAATATATCGTATGTAGGTTTATTACATTTTATATACGATTATTATGAAGAACAGAGAAAGTTTATAATAAAAAATGGTAAAAGCTTAACTACACTTTATCATTGAGGATCCGGCGCTAATTTGGCGTATCCGAGCTTCTGAAGTACTTCTTTTATCTCGCGATACACCGACGCGTCCTCTATTGTACTTGAGATCTAAAATGGGATAAAATGAAGAGAAACGGTATATATTTTACGATTTTGCGAACAGTGAACATGAATAAACGATATAAATACTCTTATCTCGTAAATGATATCTAGAAAATTTCATTTCACATTTCTTCCGTTTCCGTCACCTACTTTACAAAAAAAAAAAACGTTCATCTTATTATCAAGGCGGAACCTCACCTTGACGAGCTTCGAGCGAGCCAGATTCGCGATCGACTTGCGAATTATCTTTCCGGAACGCGTTCGAGGTAAATCCCGTACAGCGGCCGCGGTTCGAAATGACGCTATCGGTCCTATCAGACTTCTTACACCGGATATCAGCTCCTCGTTGATCTGTTCCTCGTTCTTTGTCGCCTCTGTACGGAGAAACGGATTCTCGGATAATCTCAACGACACGATTTATTACAGGCTCCCTGTTACCATATTCTTTCGTAAGTATTAGAGAGTAACAATTTCACCGAGATCAATATTAAAATTTCCAGTTCCGATATTAATAATATTAATTACTTGTACCGATTGCCCAATACGTATATCATTATAATGTTCCCCAAACTCTCACCTGGTCTCATTGTATAAAGACACAGAGGGACTTCTCCTTTGGTAGGGTCTGGTACACCAACAACGGCAGCATCTGTCACATCCGGATGCGCCATAATAACGTCCTCCAACGCTGCTGTGGATAATCTATGACCAGCCACATTGATCACATCGTCGTCCCTTGCCATCACGTAAACGAACCCGCGCTCGTCTTTGTAACCGACGTCCATGGTGTCGTAGTAACCCTGACGGATCGCGCGTATTAATGGTAATACAAGCTAACGAACGGTCGAACAAGTTCAATGAAAAATCGGGCCTACCGAATGCCTCGAGAAATAGATCTCCTTGAATCTGTCGTCGGCCTGGTATAACGTGGATATGCAGCCAGGTGGTAACGGCAATTTTATGGCGATTCTTCCGAGCTCGTGGGCCTCGGCCTTGCTGCCATCCTCCCGTAAAATATCGACTGGAAGAAATGAGCCTCGCTTGTAAACTATTTCCCTTACGTTCTTTAGAAAATTCTCAAGGAATATTTTTTGTAGGATACAATGGTGTCTCGAAGATATTTTATCTCAATCGACCCTAGTCCGACAAGAGGAGGGTTAAAAGCATCATCGAAAGAAAACGGAGCGTACTGTGGTAACCAGGAATCGGCAGACCGGTGCTGTTTTTCGGGAGACTGGGATGATGGTCGTATCCCAGGCACAACGCTGTGATCGGATGTCCGGTCTCCGACTGCCACCAATTATTCAGAATGGGCACTTTGAATGCCTGTTCCGCCCAGATTTTCGTCTCGTAGTCGCAGAACTCACCGGCGACGAACACCGTCTTCAATCTGTAACGGAGTATCGTGCACGTGTGTTTTCATCGTATCCTAACGATCTAAGTTCGTTCTTACGGGACTAAAGGACTCACGATTCCGTGGAATATTTTCGACCGTTCACCACGTCCATGTCAGCGCGTCTTATGACACGAAGGGCTGTCGGCACGCAGAACAGCGCGTTTACGTTGTGCTGCTCGATTACCCTGCGAAAACGCGGATTCTTCGATCAATTTCAAATTGTGTCATCTTATAGAAACGGACAAGGACACGCAAGGTGTCCATAACACATTCCTGTTCGTGTTAGTTAAAACGTGTCGTATACAAAGTGAACGAAATAAGGCTTTACGAGATCGTCGAAGGTCTGAAATAAATACAGTAAATCCTGGATAAATGTACGAAACTTCGGGACTATCTTGGAACAGTCATCGTAAACTGACAATATTTCCGCACCTCATAGGCGAAAGTTCCCTATATTAAACCACTTAAGAAAGTACCTCCATAAATCGGAAACGTGTTCATAGTTTTGAGGAGAAAAATTTAAGAACAATTTCTGAATTTTGAAGCTCGACGGACAACAGTTACATACATACATGAATTAAGTTAAAGTGGACCAAAATGTATAATATTTATGAAACGTCAGATTTTCTTCGTATAGGCCAGGTGTCCTGATACAGTAAACTCGCGATAATTTCTTGCATTTGGGGCTCTAGAAGCGAGCAGTTCTAGGAACGGGTAATTATTGAAAGGTAATAGGACGTCATTCGAGCCAATTATTAGTTACAGAAGGCGACAGAGAGTGAGGTGCACGTGTTGTATAAGTAGTGCGTGTGAGCAGTTGGAGCATTCCTAATGGATATTTATCTAGCGAGCAGTTATCACGATTCTACTGCATTTATGAACGGCAGGGTGTGTGTTTACATAGATCAAAATGTCAACATATAGCCTGTCCGTCGACTATGTCGTTCGTAGGGAAATTCGAACCTGAAGTACTGGGCTGCGTCGGGTGTCCTGTCAGGCTTTCCCTCGTACATCACGCTGGTCGCGCCGTAGACGAGGGGCCCGTAGCAAATGTACGAGTGACCGACCACCCAGCCCATGTCGGAGGCCACCCACCAAACGGAATCCTTGTCCATCCCGTAAACCGTTTTCATCGTCCAGCAAACAGCGACCAAGTGTCCGCCGACCGTTCTCAGGATCCCTTTCGGTTGACCTTCGGGCAGAAAGTTTCTTTGAACGTGTCCCATATTGTCTATAATTCTAGCGGGCCGGAACGTTATCGCAAGAATCCTTTAGAGTTCAATTTTCCCACGAAATGGTCCCCCTTCCCCCAAAAATTTGTCGACACTCGAGACACAATCTCCACGATTGTAGTCGAACTACGAGACCGGCCAATCAATTCGTTTTTTAATTACATTTAAAATTAGTTTGACCCAAAAATTAAAAACCCCTAAACGTAGGCAGAATCAGGCTACCTGTAGTGCCCGACGTGTACAGAATATACAAAGGATCGTTCGCCTCGACCGGTTGGCACGGATGAGGCTTCGATCGTTCCATCAGGTCGTCCCAGTCGAGCTGATCCGGGAGCAACGGGCTCAGCCACGCGTTTCTCCTCTGGAATACGATGCACCGTGGTTTCGTCACGGAAATGATGTCCAACGCGGCGTTCAGCATTGTGGTGTATCTGGGAGCGCGTGGATTAGACAGTTTCGTGTACAAAGAGAAAATCACGGTTCGAATGCTAGAACTACCGAAGTCGAACGTGTTTCTATATCTATATACATACGGCGATAAAAGTCGCAAAGAATTGCTGGAAAATACATCGTTATATCTTAAGAATTTTTTATAAAAGTTCACGAACCAGTCGTTTCGACTGTTTTTTTTTTTTTTTTGGTGGTTCTAGCGTGTCATAGGCAAGAGGACAGACTGATAAAACATACTGTACGACTTTGGTGGGTTCCAGGCCGCAACTGGCGGCGATCACCACCTTCGGTTTCGCGTGATCTATCCGTGTGGCGAGCTCGTTCGCGGCGAATCCTGCGAATAGTACTTATAGAGAACGAACAAGTGAATCGAACATAGGCCATAGGATGTACACTACTCCGTCCGTAAGTATCCGGACACTTATGATGGAAATCTATGAATATTCTATGAGTGTATGTGACTTCAGAGATTCTTATTATTCTCATTTATCAAAATGGAATACATTTAATTTGTTAGGAAGCAACACAAATTCTTAACAAATAATGTCGATAAAAGTATACCATGGCCAAAGTTAAACAAGAATTGTACACATGGAATATACTACGTATGTATGTATACGAAAGAATCAAGAGCTTTAACTACCTTCTTTTAACTTCCATTGTAGGTACTTCTATGCGGTTTAGATCATTTACTGTCGTAAACTTGTCGTAAACTTGTTCAAAGAAAAATAGTACCTCCTTAGCGAGCGAATTTGTCTGCGTGAAAGCGGCAATATCGTAAAAGTCCATTATACATTCAAATATTGATAATACACTGTGCCCGGATACTTGTATACGGTGTAGCGAGTGTAACAAAGCGATTCTTACCGCCGAACACAACAGAGTGAACCGCACCAAGACGCGCGGTCGCCAAAATGGCGATTATCGTCTCGGGTATCAACGGCATGTAGATGACAACCACGTCACCCTTTCGTACGCCAAGGTCGGCCAAAGCACCAGCCATCTTCGAGGTTTTCTCGAACATCTCGTTGTACGTCACACGTCGTATCGTCGAGATCAACGGGCTGTCGTGGATCAACGCCGTTTTGTTACCGTTTCCAGCGTGCACGTGGCGGTCCACTGCGTTGTAACAGGCGTTCAATTCCCCGCCAACGAACCTACCAACGTGTTTTTACCATATTCTTGTATAACGAGCTACCGTTCAAATTCATTAAGTGGGATTTTACAATTTTTAAATAACGGAGTTATCGTTTAAATGCATCAACTAGGGCTTTGCCATTTCTTTAATAACAGAGTTATCGTTCGAAATCACCAAGAAGGATTTTTATCATTTTTCTTTTGTAACGGGTTATCGTACGAAGGCGTCGTTTCACGGACAAATACTACCCGATGGATTCATGAAAGATTAACGAGCTGTACAGAGTCTCGACGATCGCCCGACGACGGATATACATTACAAATGAAGTTACCATTTCGTGAATGGCGACCTGGTGTTGTCCAAGACCTTCGTCCACGGTTTACTCCAGTCGATGCACCGTGACACCTCGCCCCAAAACTTCTCCGGGTCCTCCAACGAGTTCTGATAAGCCTCGTCGTACGCGGGACTGTGTCTGTAATGGGGACTGACGATGTAATCTGCAAGGGGAAAACACATAGAAATCGGCGATAAATTTCTGCAAGTTGCGAATAACGATTGTCTTGTTGTGTATACACAGCGGGGAATAATGAATTACGTGTGAATTCACGATAAATTTATTATATACGCTACCCTTCGTAAGTAACAGGACACCTGGTCTATATATTGAGAACATTAGAATCTTTTGTTATAAATTGTATACTTTAGCCCATGTTTTTTTGAACAGATTTCATTGTCGATTCAGCTTTCCTTTCATTCGAATTTGCATAAACAACTGTAAACTCAAATTAAATCATTGGGAGCTATCGAGTTGGACGAAACTCTCGAAAATTCGGTTCAAAATGTCAATTACATTCCATCATCGTTGTTCACGGGATTAATATGTATTTTTCTCGTGCATCTACGTACTTTGACTACTCGAATTATAAATACCAATAAGTGATTCCTCGGTAGGGTTAAACAAAAGAAAGTTTCGTCGGCGAAAGCAACGAGATCGATCGCCGTACAAATGGCACCTGTTGCTTTCGCGTTTGCGGTAGCAACGATTTAAAACGTCCCCACCGTCTGTTATACTAATTTACTAATTATTATGTAACAAGATCTATCGGATCGGAATTGTCCAGTGCGAATATAATTATGTATATCGAAGAATCATACAGAGAGGAAAAATTAATTAAGTACCTGGCCAATCGACAGTCGGCCATACATTGTCAAGACACGACAGATCGACGACTCTAGTCAGTAAGGATTACGAAGCTGTTTGAATTTCGTTGAAACGACCGAAGTGGCGTAAGACGGGCAAAACTTCTGCTTTGGAAAATCCGTACTCCGTCGATGTATTTTGGGAAATCAACAGGGGCGATACATATGTCGGAAAAAGAGGGATTTTATCGGATCAGAATTTCATGGCCAGATTTCCGGCCCACACAAGCTATACGGTAATCGACTTGTACACCACGATTCGACGCCCCGTTATTCGAAACGCGTCTTCACGCACCCCCGAAACTTTCTTTTTTCGGAAACGGTCGCCCTTCGATTTTCACGTTAACGCTTCGACAGAGTGAACGTAAGTATGTATGTATGTACGTATCTGGGGCGGAAGAATTGTGTCTGAACGCGGACCAACTCGACTCCCTGCCTCCACCTCCCGAATCTCTTGAAAATCGTTCGAGACGGATGGATTAAAGTCCAGTAGAAATAATAGCGATGATAATAGAAACAATAGCGTTATGGAATAATAATTTTCAATTTGAATATAAATATTGTACATTGAAAATATGCGGCAGTTTGTCGACGAGTACAGAAAAGGCGCCCGTATCAGAACACCCTTTCAATCCAGGTAACCTTACTCCTCGAACAAAAAACAAATTTACGAGGTGCTGAAAACATTTCCGCCTTGCTTCAAAGTGGGCCCGAGTACGTCGCACGTGATTTCTTGATTAAACAATCACCTGGAAATTCGAAACGATCGGACAGTGGACTCGATCTTTGAATATCGTACGATGAAAGCTCGTAACACGTGGGGTGATCACGAGGATCGAAACCAGTCATTGGAGTTTCCCGCGATTCTTGTTCATCCCGGTTCGAATGTTCGCGTCTTTCGCGATTATCGATCGAGAATAGAGATATCACGTGTAATTTCAGGGTATAGCTCGTTGATTTCTCGTAATCTGCGTCATATGACCGTGGCTGTTCCCATGAATATTTAAAGGGTCCCGCGTCAGGAACGTTGTCTTTACCCGATACATTGTTTTCGTTTCTCTCTCTCTCTCTCTCTCTCTCTCTCTCTCTCTATCTCTCTTTCTCTCTCTTTTGCTTTACTTTCACACCGATGAATTATTCATACAGAGTCGTCCGATATACCAAGCTCATAGTAATTTCCTACGCCGTCCGCACCCCCCGCCCCTCGCCCTTTCGCGCCTTCCTCTCGCCCTCCTCGCCCACGTGTTTCTGTTTCCGTATATGGTTAATTCAAGTCGAACAATTTTCGCTATCATGCTTGTTAACGGACAAGTACAATGTACAGTGAATCAAATAAGTCGTCGCACACCCTATAAAACGGAACAATTTTTTTAAAACCGGACCAAGTGACTTGAGTTCTTTTTTTTATGAAGTTAGGACTAGTTTACTAAGTGAAGTGTCGACAAAATTTGGAAAAAGTTGCAATTGGTCGGAATCGCGAAGAAAATAATAAATGTCGCATTTTTTCAACTTTGTTGATCTAAGGCGGTAATGAAAATTTGATTAATATATTTCGATGATTTATATTCGTTATACACATGTTGAAGCTTTGATTGAAGTCGGTAAATGTTGCCACAGTTACAGATCCCTTCGACGGTCGATAGATCTTCGCTACAGATCGATACTTCGTTTCTAACGACGCTCATAACAATTATCGAAGTTTCACGTGTTTTCGCGTACCTTCGACATGTCCACGATTCTCTTTCGTTTCTCCGAAAATTTTGTAACGCCTTCTCAAAAAGCGTGGACAGCAATGCGATCTCGGGGCTCTGGAGACTCTGGAGAGCCTTTGCAGCCGGAGACGTTACGCTTGTGGCTCCAGTAGTAAACAGTATATTAAGTTCGACATACCAGTAGAGCGAGTCGCCCGTGTTCTCAACGAAAGACCAAATTGTATTTTCTATTCGTAAAATGGATCTAGAAGAGAAACCCGTGTCATGGATATCTCCTTTCAAGACTGTTGTTTTCCTCGAAGAATCCTACCTCAGTTTTCCAGCGACCGATAACACACAATGTTCACGATACAGGCACGATTCGTTCGCCGTTGAATTACGCGTGAACGCCCAGAACGCGCGTACGGAAAATAGCAGCTGCGTCGGAACAATTTAATCCCGTTAATGGACATTATCCGTGTACTTAACAATTAGATTTCGCGTACCGGCGTCTGTTTCGCGCAGCTGCTTTCGCGCGCGAAAACCGTTTCCAGGAATCGAATTCCACTGGCGGGACGCGTTGCGGCGTAACGCACGCGGTGAAAAATAACGAACAATACCGACAGACAGGGCCGTTGAGTTGTTGGCCGCCCAAGTAGAAAAACAGTATCGTCGCCCTTATTAATTTAATATTATGTAATTAAGAATTTGTTATGCAGTGTTTGTTTTTACATCTATACATATACATAGCTTTTCTTAAACATTTATCATGTAAGAGGTATATGAATTGCAATTATTAATTACCTACACGAATTTAATCCAATAAATACGATTAAATATCATATACTATTTTGGGCTGTCGATAAAGATAGTTCATTCTTGTATATGAATAGTGTTACAAAGATTACGTATAAAATTAATTTGATTGAATTCTATTTGTCTAAAATGTTCAAAAAAGTTTTGAGTATTATACTTGCCAACTAGAATTTTACATATAATATACGATCTACGGCCGCCCAGGTGCGGGGGTACCTTTTACACCCCCGCCAGAAACGGCCCTGCCGACAGAAATTACTTTCCGCTGAGGATACACACACACGCGTTTTTCATGATACAGGAAAACCTTTCTATTCCCTCTGCTGCCCTCACCTTTTGTTGCTTCTGTCGCGGAAACGCAATTTAACTTTAACCAGTCCGCGGAACCGGCGGCGAGATCGAGGTATGTAATCGGGAACGTAATGACTTTTAAGTTTTGAATTGTCTTCGCGAGGTGACATCTGTGACAGAGACGCGAGAACGACGCCATTTTGTTTGTCGTCCACACGAAAATATTTACTCGTTTTCATCGTTACTACGTTTTACTCGTTTGTGACAGACGATTCACCGATGAGGGAAGTTATCCAGATGTTAGTTATATGGGAGAATAATACTATTAAACATAGTAATATTCGAAAGTAAAAATTCTAGTACATATTCGATCTAGTGAGTGAACTGAAATAATTGTTGTTGGTCCGAGAAATTCAGTACGGACCAGAAAAATGGCGCAAAAGCATCTCTGTAAATAGATTTTACAATTCCGTTTGTAAAATATCGTTCGCGGTTGAAGTTACTCCGAATTGTTTATAATATCGATCACTCCTTTCCCAGAAAACCTTCTTTCATCTCTCGCGGTAATTGTTCGATCCATTTATTTTTCTCGAAGAGAAAAAAAGACAGTCCCTCTCCGTGTTTATCGAAAGACAACGAAAGAAACGACCGTCGTTCTCGAGGGTTCGATAATTTAAACATCGTTGCCCAATGAGAAATGTTCCAGGAATACGGTGGGTGATCAAATTATTAGAGCCCACCTGTATAAATCGACGATGTTACGATTTTTAACTGTGTTTTCGTTATAATTACACACAGGCTAGGTTTAAGTTGTTTTTGCTTTATGTACTTTCAGTGGACAATTGTTTAAAAATGTCATCCAGTGTATGGATCATCTAGACACACATTATTAGTTAGTCTTAAATAATTGTTATATTTTTACCATTGCTACTGTATTTTTTTCTTTCATCTTTTATTCACGTGTCCTTGTTTATATTCATACTATCTTTGTATCAAAAAGTTTTAAAATAAACATTATTATTAGTATATTGTGATCTCATTTCTACGCAAAGCACCAAGAAACAAAAGAGAAGAAAAAACATATTTTTCCTAATAATTTCATCGCCCACCGTATTTTCCCCCGTGTGTTCGTTCTCTACTGCGATGACGTTCTCTCTTGAGACAATTGTTTTGTTTTAGGGAAGAAAAACACTCACCGGAACCGTCGCCCTTCCTCAGCGTTCGCGAACTGGCGATGATCGACTGGAAGCTCGTCTTCTCCGTGTCCGGAGTGCGTGCCTTGAAGAAATCGGTGTTCAGCTCTTGCAGCATCGTGGAGAATCGTGAATATCAATGGATACACGAGGATATGGGTGGTCCATCCACGATTCTTCCCTTGGCTGCTCCACCACCTCACGATCGACGAACGACACGCTGCGAAGAAAAATGTCGGATGAGATAAAACAGCTTCCAGAAATTCGAGAAAAAGACGCAGTTAGTCGAAATATAAAATGGGACAAGGTACATAAACTTTCGCCCGTAAAACTATTTATTAGGAGAGATATTGAATATGCAGTAAAATGTTACAAGCCGTTACGAAATAGCCGAAGGCCTGAAAGAAATTCTTTGAATTATCGAAATTGCTTGGAGGATATTAAAGCTCGACGAACAACGCCTTATACTACTATGGAATTAATAAACGTGGCCTGATATGTAAGTGTAGGGTGAGTTGTTTAAATAGAGTCCCTTTGAATATCTTTGAAATCATTGACAGTATGTATTGATGACATATTGTGACATACATACATTATACATTTGACACATGGATAATTTGACCATCGTATATCTTCCACCGACTACAAAAAGAAACTATTCACATCGAACTATTCCCCCCTCTTCGAAACCAAAGTTCAATTTTTATCTGAAGCACTTTCTTCGGTAACATTAACGGTTTCGAAGCTATTCGAGGGGATCGATTTAAATAATTCAAAACTCTTTACAATATATATATAAAAATGTATAATAATTTTCGAACTCACGACTGATCCTATCAAATTCTTACGAAAGGTCACATTTTCATCGTACAGACCACAGGTGTTGTAACTAGTTACGAGCGAGGGTGTATGTATATATCACAGAGGGTCAAGAACGAAACGAACATATCGGAACAAGGGTCGAAAGAGATGTGTCTTCGAGAATCCTGTATGTTATAGACTCTCCGCAGGACGGAGAGACCGTAAAATTGGGGTCAAGACACCCCTTTCTCCCAACCGACAGCCAACCCTCACCGGGTGTCAGATTTTAAAGAGTTTATTTAACAGACACGTGTTTTCCAGTACCCAATATTATTGTCACGTCGAGAGGCCTATAGATAGCTTGTATCAAATCGCAAAATCCCCCACCCTCGAATTTGATGGAATTTCGGACGGTTTATCCGAATGAAAAAAGGAAAATCTATCTCCACAGACCTGGAAAAAGGATCAAAGCTGTTCACGAACAGAAAATACATTCGAGCAGGTGGCCGAAATTTTTCATCCGAATCTCGACACTTGACGAAGTGTGGATTCTTGACGAACTGATTCCCTTCGAAAGGGTGTTACGTGTTAAGTTGCAACGAATTTCTTCGGAGAAAAGAAATTCGCCTTCCATTGGTAACTTTGTATGTATAATCTCTACTTTTATGTGTATAAAAGGAGAAGTCATTACTGACTGGATCATCAACGCAAAGCCGTTTAACCTAGGAACGTGACATTTGAAACGTAAATTGTTTTTATCACGTAGGCGTCCGTCCGCTAAGAAAGGATATTTCAAAATTCAACCCCTAAAAGTGAAAAGGGTTAAAATATATTTTCTAGAGATATCCCACTGGTATTTTACTTTAAAATGCTACTTATACAAATGTCTGGAAAGTAATTCTAGGAATTTTTTGGAAATTCCATCTACAGGAGGTGAAAAGTTGTCCGAATAACGGGGAATAAATGTAATAACATAATATATTTTCTTCTTCTATTTTTTTCTTTCTTTTCGATTCGATTTAAAAATTTTATTTGAAAAAAAGTAATTTTTCCAAGTCCCGAACTTCACGCGAGCAAAACAGAAAGCTAGTAATTTATAAACGGGAAAAGGACAGAGGAGTTACAGTTAAATTACGTAGGATTAACCTAAACGGTCCGTTGCAATTTGAATCTTCTGAAGTTGAATTTACGTCGCTCGAAAATGTACAGTGGATCCCGGGGCAAACAAAGGTACGAGACGTCGATGTCCGTTGTATGTACATATTCGACTCAATGGTGTTCGAGCGGTCCCTGGCCGTCGAATGCAAATCGCCTCCGATCGTCTAACAGAATGAACAAATAAAGGTCAAAGTCCCGTGTCGCGTATCGTTAATAAAAGTAACACGATATAATGACACCTGGTTCCTGCATCGATTAACGATCCCGTCCGTTATCGTTCAAACGGACGGCGAGCAGGATTTTAATAATACCGAAACAAGAAGTTCGGAAAATTTTTAACAGATTCTCGTGGCACAGGTTACCGGCTGCGTGTCACTTTTTCAACACTGTTTTTCTTTTAAATAACCCCCTTTCTTTCTAGATAATCGTAACTTTCTGAAAATTCTAATAAATACTTTTGTATATTTTCTCTCTTTTTTTTATCGTTCATTTTTATAATTCTTTATATAGTCCTAGTAAATTTTGTTAAACTTTATGTGTAGTAGTATCGGTCAATTATGTAGTATATATATTGTCCTCTAGACCTAGATATTATTATTATTTATAATTTTCAACGATTGTCTCGACGCCTCCCTTTCCGTCGGTCACAGTTATCGGTTGATTATTCTCTACGGTGGTACTTTACCGATTTGGTTCCTTTGTGGAAGATCACAAGCACGGATCACGTTGCAGTAAATCGTGGCTCGATATTCTCGAAACGCCTCTAAGACGTCCCACGGCAAACTTTCCAGCCGTTGTTACGTGGATAATCCATTACGATTAAACTTAGCGGAAAAACTCTTCCGGCTGGCTCGAATCAAACGAATCCTGGTCGAGTATGGGGTGTTCAGGTATGACTTAACGGCTCTCTTTTGTTGTAATCGGAGGTAAACTTGGATCACGAATCGAAGACTGGACACGGCGGGTCCCTACGGTGTCGTGTGTGTGTATATCCCTCTCGGTTCACGCGAATCGAAATTGGCCCAAGACGAAACTGAGAACGGATCGCGCCGCGGGTTCGACAGTATGTAAAAGTATTTGGTCACGTGATCGATCTACTTCCTGAATAAATCTTGATCCGTAGGTCGTCGCATACGATTATGGAAGAAAGATTGTTCGTTGTGCTGGCGTTCGTCCGAACGACCGAAACACCAGCCATTTTCCTCGCCGATGTATCGGTTATTTCGTGGGTCTCGCCGTTTATTTGCGATCGGTTGAGAAGGATCGATGAAACGGGGGAGTATGTGTGATTTGGATCGGATCGACTGCTCCTGATCCAAACGACTCGATCAACTCTGTTAACCCTTAAACGGTCATAGTGAAGGTCCGAGGAAACCGATGAATGGTTATTTTCGAATTTTTAGATTAGAATACGACGAAGTATTTTATGGTATATATGTATATAATATTTCGAACTCATACCGTGACTTGTTTAGATTTTTATTGTTGGTGTTAGCGTATATGCAGCTTCAGAAATTCGGTTCGTAAAATTTTGTAATATCAAGCCGGCGTGAGTTAAAATCGCAGGAAACATATTTTATTCGTCGATAGATTATAATATACATATGTAAGCTATTGGTTGTGAAATAAAGTTTACAAATTTCTATAATGAAAATATATAATTAAGAATCGATTGTGTTAATTCGAATATTTAATATCGATATATGTTAATATTTAGAAACAAAGTATTCGTCGTAGTTAATAGCCGTTGAAATCTGTACACGTACGTACGTAGTATATTACGATTCAGGGAAAAAAGTCGTATGACTAATCGTATGAGTGTTATCGAAACGAAAGTATCCATGAATTTTCATATACTTTCACTACGTTCGAGCATCTACAGCGCACAATGAAATCGGTCACGTGTAGATAGGTGCCCTTAACTCTAGAATCGTTATGGTAATCAGTCTATTGTTTTCCCGCGTTAAATACGTTCAAGCTGAAAGCACTTAAAAGTGGAAGATTATACAGACTGTCTCTCTCTCCCTTTCTGTCTCTCTATTTCTCTATTGACAAGAAAATGAAAAACTCTACTTACGTGCGCAAAGTTACTTCCTATACCAAAATAGTACCTCACCACGTAAAATAAACTATCGATCCATTACCGTTCGTCGAAGTAGAATAACCCCAGTAATATAATTTTTGTGAAACGATCAAGTATCCCGGAGGCACTCAAAGAGTCGTTTCCTCCTAGGAACGGTCATACCGGACTGGAACCCTCTGAACGGAGTAGTTCATCTCGCGGTTTTGGCTCTCCTCTTCTTTGATTCCTGATCCATCGTCTAATACACGCCCGAGAAATAATTGTACGCGGGAGAAAAAAAAAATAAAACAACAGTCGCCTCGATGGACAAGGAACGTACATTAAATGCAAATGTTTTCGTGCATCATTGTAATTATTCGTAATTTGCATATATCGGCGCTGTAAATATTCATGGAACATTTCTTAATTACGTGTTACGGCACTTTCCAATAACAACGATGCCCGTTTGTAAACGCTTTTAACGAGAATTTTTCTGAATGATCGTCGAATAATGAGATTACAGTGTATATTTCTCGGTTGTTGTTCATGAAAGCTCTCAGTTTCATTGAACTCTTTCTATCAGGCCATTGTACCGTAACTCACGAAAACTGAACGATAAATGTATTTATCCCCGATGAAATTTGGTTTTAAAATGTGTTTCGTTTATTCGTAAAAAGTATTTAAAGGTGGAATACAGGCTTTGTAAAAGCTGTTCTTAAAATGTAAAATTGAAAGATAAAAACAATAACCTTGGCTGTTGATGAGACTCTAAACTCGTAATTAAACAAACATTTCTTACAACCCCCCCCCCATCCCATAAAGAAAGGAATTCGATCCCGAAAAGAATAATAAGAAATGCGATAAGCCATATTCGGCGAACCACAGGGTCACCTTTTTCGTCCGCCCACCGTTACGTGGAAACAAACGGTTTTCCGTGGCCCCTCCCTCGCTCGCTGGTATCATTATCGCCGAAAAAGACGATCTCGTTTACCGAACGTTTTGCCCCGGTTGTTTGCCCATCTCTCGCCATTCCGTGGTTTATTGCGCCGTGTCCCGTTCCGATTTCTTCTTTATTATTAATCGTCCACCGTGTATCG